CCTGCCGTCACCACGCCGGCCTGGGCCGGCGGCGCCGGGACGGTGATGGTGACGGTGGCATTTGCTCTGTTGCCGGCAGTGTCCTGCACCGTGTACGTGAAGGTGGCGTTGCCGCTGAAGCCGCCTGGCGGTGTGAAGACAAAGCTGCCGTCGGCGTTGACCACCACGGTACCAACGCTGGGCTGGGTGTTGCTGACCACGGTCAACGCGCCACCCAGGGAGCTGGCATCGTTGGCCAGCAGGCTGCCGGCTGCGGTGGTGAGGCTGCCGTTGTAGGTGCAGTTGTAAGCGTCGCTGCCCGCCGTCACCACGCCGACTGCGGGAGCTGGGTTTGGTTGGGCTGGGACATTAATTGTGACGGTTGCAGTGGCAGTGTCGCCCGCCGCACTTTTGGCCGTGTATGTGAAAGTGTCTGTGCCGTTGAAACCTGCGTTTGGAGTGTACACAAAGCTCCCATCGGGCTGCATGACCACTGTTCCATGTGCAGGATTGGTGTTGCTGGCAACAGTGAGGATGCCGCCGCTCGACTGCACATCGTTGCTTAACACGCTGCCAGAGGCGAGGGTGTTGAGCGCGCCGTTGTAGGGGCAGGTGTAAAAGTCGTTGGTGGCCGTCACTGCTGGGGCGGGGTTGCCGCCAGGCGGCGGCGGCGGGACGACGATCGCGACGGTGGCCGTCGCCGTGGCCAGGTTGCCGGCCGCGTCCCGAACCGTGTACGTGAAGGTAACGGTCCCGGAGTAGCCGGCAGGCGGCTGATAAGTGAAGCTGCCATCCGGGTTTACGGTCAGCGTACCAACCGTCGGCTGGCTGCTGCCAACCACTGTCAGAGGGCCGCCAAGAGAGCTGGCATCGTTGCCGAGCAGGCTGCCGGCCGCTGTGGTCAGCTGCCCGTTGTAAGCACACGTGTAGAGGTCAGCCGTGGCTGTCACCTGGCCGGCCGCTGGCGGCGGGGTCGGTGGGGCCGGGACCAAAATGGTCACCGTGGCGGTGGCTTTGTTGCCCCCGGTGTCCTGCACTGTGTAGGTGAAAGTGGCAGCCCCGCTGAAACCAGCTGGCGGCGTGTAGACAAAGCTGCCGTCAGGCTTGACGACAACTGTGCCGACGCTGGGCTGGGTATTGCTGATGATGGTGAGAGCGCCAGCAAGCGAGCTGGCATCGTTGCCCGTCAGGCTGCCTGCTGCAGTGGTCAGCTGGCCGTTGTACCCGCATGTGTACGCGTCGTCGGTGGCCGAGATTGTCGCTCCTTGATTGCCGCCGCCAGGAAGAGCACCAGGGGCGGGGATGAAGGGGTCTGAGGGCTCAATGCCGGGCTCTGTGGCGGGGCAGGTCGTCTGATCGTCGGCGACGCCGCCGGCTGATGTCAGCTTGCCAGCAGTGTTAATCTGCTCCAAGCACGCCTGGGCTTCGTCCTGCGGCAGAGGTTTGTAAATTCAAGGGCAAGTGGGAGCTTCAACAAGCATGCTAGGAGAGAGCAAGGGGAGTGTGTAAGCCAGGAACATTTTGAAGCGAAACACAACAGCTACACAGCCAACCACTGTTGTGGCAGGCACAAGCGTTTGCAAGTGTGCACGCCAGCGCGTGGCCGCATGATCACGCCCACGACTATCTTACCCCTCTCCTGCCTCTCGTCCCCAATGCATTCCTCCATCACACCCACCAGCGGTATGGCGAGGGAGGTCTCCGTGTCATAGGGCTGCTCTGTCTGGTCTGACAGTGCCAGGTTGGCATCGTCCAGCAGCGTCCGCACGTCCTTGCAGCTGCAGGTGCCCTTGCCAGGCGGGACCACCACTGTGTCCAGGAAGTCAGCGTCATCCCCAGAGCACTTGGCATTCTCAATCCGATCCTGTTAGGGTTTGAAACGGGCGTTGTGGAAAGGTCAGGCCGAGGACGGAGCAGCAAGGGCAGGCGGGAGGCAGAGGGGTGGGGGCCTTGAGCGTGGGGTAGCTGGTGCGGCCAAACAGGTGAGGCGGAGTTTGAGGCATAAACCTGCAAGGACAATCCACTAACTTGGATGCTGCAGCATAACACCGCGCCCTGCCGTGCGGCGGACATTGCTGCACTGGCAGGCCACCCTCAAGGCTGCGGCACTGGCTGGCTGAGTCATTGCGTGCGGCCGCACCTTGTACACGTTCAGGGTCGCGGCCAGCGCTGCAAGGAACGCCTCGCCCCCCAGGCTGCCGAGCGGCGGCAGCGCTGTACTGCAGGTCGCGCCAGACGCCACTGTCACGGTCGCCTGCGCCTGCACGCGGACCGCCGCTGGGCTCTGCGTCGTCTTGCCGCCGCCAGTGAAGCATCCGGTCGAGAAGCAGAGCTTGAAATTGTCCGACCCGCCGTCCATGACGCAGTCCATGCCTTGATAGTCCGGGCAAGGCGTCGCTGCGGCGCACTTGACCTGCCCGAGGCAGTGGGGGCCGGTGCAGGTGCCGCCGCCGTACACACTCGTGTCGCAGACGGCGCCGTTGCGGCGGACGGGGCAGCGAGCCGAGCGGGGGCAGTTGAGGTTCTCGTCGCCGAGCGCGTTGGCGATGCAGGACGAGGAGGGGCAGAGCCTGCAGGGTTTTGAGAGAGTTGTGAGAGGGGGACGTGCGGAAGGTCGCGATGAGGTACAAGCCTTGGAAGTATCTGAGCTAGCACAGCCGAATGGGAGGCGAGCGGCACTTCGGCGGCTGCCTCATGAGCAAATCGGCTGGACGGGTGCAGGACGGGTGCAGGCATGACATGCGAAAGCAGAAAAGAGGCTAAGCTGCCCACACAACCCCACCACAAATCTCTGCAAAAACACCGCGCCGCACCCGCAGGGGCCCTGCACCCACCCTGTGCTAATGTCACAGTTGCCGTGGCACTTTGTGGAGTCTGCATTCTTGCAGCGGCCCTTGTACCCGGTCAGCGGGTTGGCACCGCCGGTCCTCCAGTTCTGCAGGGGGCACAATGTTGTGGGTGGAGAGCACTACGTCAACATGTGTTGTGAGGCGCACCCTCAACAAGTTTTGGACATACAACAACCCACACTCAAAGAGGGCTCTTCCTCCAAGGCATCATCGGCGGTGCTGACGTCATTTCACACAGCCTGACTCTTGCAACCCAGGCGTACGTAGCTGTCCCCAAACCGACCCTTGCGGCAAAAATGCCCACTTTATACTCGCAGAATGCCGCTGTCCTGTCGTCCACGCCGTCGCCGGCCTGAAGCGCCATCTCAATGGGGTCACACTTATCATCAGCAGAGGCAGGCATATCAGGGGAAGTCGGGCAGGTGCGGTCCGCGCACAGCTTCCAGTTTGTTGAAGCCCCTGCAGCAGCAAGCGTGTCGGGCGTTGGGGTGGTTGGTTGGGGGACCAGCATTGCAGGCTGTAGTTGAGGGAAGCGGCGTGCTAAGTGTCTCAGGCCGAAGATGCACTGCCTTGCCGTTGGTGTGGTTCTCTATTCCCCTGACTGTGTGCAAATCAATTTGGTTGTGCAATAACACAGTGGCAGTAAATGCAAAGGGCCAGGTACCTGAGTAGATGCAGATCATGCCCTCAAAGTCGGGGCACGCCTTGCCAGTGCACTTGACCCAGCCAAAGCAGTTTGTGCCACCATTTGTCAAGCATTTTGGTTCGTGGGGTTCACAGGTGGCTGTGTAGCCATCTTTGGTGCCCACTGGGCAACGAGAGGAGTTGGGGCAGCTGCGTGGCCACGGGGAGTGCACGAGGGGACGGGCAGAGAGAGATAATTTGAGGTAGAAGAGCAGGAGCTTCAGCCCTGCATGTGTGAGGTAACGGGGCGGGGGGGAGCCGCACATGCAAAGCGGCAGGGTCATTTAATAACATGGCTAGCCTCACCAACGAGCGACCCCTTCACATGTCGTGGCCTGCTCACTTGCGCTCCTCTGTGCCCAGAGAATTGGCTTTGCAACTTGACCTTGGGCATCTGCCAGTAGCCGCGCAGCACTTGGCCACGCAGGTGGAGCACTGGCCATTGCCGCCGGTCAGGTCATAGCCCTTGATTTTGCACCTGGGTTGGTGGGGCAGTGGCAGGAGGGCAGGCGGGCAGGAAAGCAGGAGGGCAGAGCTCAGAAACAGGCGGGAGTGACAGAGCGGCGCTCACGCGGCCAAAGGCTTGCTGCAACGGGCATACTCTTGCACGCAGCTTTGGTATCATCTGCTTGCGGCATTGCAAGGGGTCAAGGCTGAGGGCAATCTGTAATGATACGCATCTGCCTCAGCACGTATCATCATCATCATCATCATCATCATCATCATCATCATCATCATCATCATCATCAAGATCGTCATATCATCATCACCACCCAGTCATCCCCATTGGTAACTTAGCAAACGATACTCACTTGTTCTGGTTGTCAAAGTCTGGGCTCAGCTGGACGTAGGTGTAGCCCGATTTGGTGGCGGTGCCCTTGAAGCCCCCAAACACGCATTGGCTAGGGGCATCGGCCCGGCCGAACTTAGGGGCACCACCAGCGGTACACAATGGAGAGCCGCAGACCTGCCGTTGGGGGTGCGTGGGGAGTCAGGCCAAGGGCCGTGTCATGATAGCGTGCGTGCATGGGATCAGTGATTGAAGCAAGAGCCATCTGCAGCATGCAGCACCGCTGCTGACGGCCTGCGACGCCCATAGATTGTGCGCACCTTCCAGTTGTCGGATTTGCCCAGCCAAAAGCAGGCAACGCCCTCCCAGTCTGGGCAAGCATCGCCCTGGCACCGCACTGTCCCAAGGCACCTGCATTGGGGTCGCACGAGGTCGTTGGGTCAGCGTGGCACAATCTGGTGTGCCGCCAACAGGCAAGATCAGTGCCAGTGCTCCGCCAATGTGCGCGTCTATGACCTGCCAGAGAACCCCAAACGCTTTGGCTTGAGGTGGCACCCATAACCACAAGTTTGCCCACGCACAAAGTTGCTGCCATTCAAAATTTCATCAAACAAAAAAAACCAGGATGGGCAGGAAAAGCTGCACCTGCGAGCTGGGTGCCGTAACGCAACAATCACAACAGGGCAAGCTAGCCGTACAGAAGGAACAGCAGTGCAAGGGTTCGAGCTCTCACTTGGCGTTGTTGTCTCCATTGTACTTGGCTGCTGTGCGGCAGGTGGCCTCAATGGGCGCACAGGTGGCGTTGTAGACAGGGCCGAGCATGTTTTTCTTAGGGTCCCGGACTGGGCAGTTGGCAGAATTCGGGCAATTCATCTCCTAGGGAGGGGTGATGTTGTGCAGATGTGTTGTTGGAAGCAACTCTGGACCAATAAGTGGGCGTGCCAAGGTTGAGTAGGGCGGTTGGTTGACATCTCAGCGGGATACATTCAAACGCGGCTGCCGCGTGCAGCTGTGGCACACAATGGCAGCTGCTGTCCGTTGGAGCAGCACTGCATGCATGCTGGGTGGGAACACGGGTGCAGTGAGATTTGGTTGTTGTTGCTTTTGCCTTGAAATTCAGGTCCGTTGCTCACAGCCTGCTGCTGCGTGTCCCGCCAGTATGACACTCTAAACCCGAGGTCATGCTTGCCTGGTCCCCCAGGTTGTTGGCATGGCAGGAGCTTGTGGGGCACGCCGCGGCACCCGCCTCCGCACAGCACTCCCCCCAGCAGTTGTTGCAGGTGTAGGTTCCCACTTTGCAGGTGTCTGTGGCGACGTACGCTCCAGCAGGGACTGCGCGCACAGCGTCATTTGCAACAGCAAGCGACTTGTTCAGTGGGGCAATCAGTGGGACGCGCCATAGAGAAAGAAAGCGCATGGGCTGCAGCGCCCCATTCAAGGCGGGTGTGCCTGCCTGCGCTTTGGCAGTCTGAGCAGGTCAAAGGCAGCGGCGGTGGCCACTAGGTAGCGCACCAGCCTGTGCGATGTTTGGGGCGGTCTTGAGGCGCCACGTGGGCAGGGAGCACTCCTCTGGTGGGTCGTTGGAGGGCGGACAGCTCACAGCAACTGGGACCCTGCGAGTAAGGCGGCGGTATTGGCAGTCTGCATTGGTGAGGAGGAGCAAGTGAGGTGCAAGCAGACAGGCCTGCAGTAAGCGTTTTTCAGGTGCATGCGTTGCTGGTTGGCTTCCCACGCGCCGAAACCTTCCGCTCAACCTGAGCCAGCCACAGCCAGCAGGGGCGCCAGGCGAGCAGGCAAGCACTCAGGTGGGCCGGAAGGCAGGGGACATCGATCGCATGTGTCGGGTCTGCCATGGCAAAATAGTCACTCACGGCGTCGTCTTCTGTGTGAGGGTCTTTCCAGTCAGCGACCATGCTGAGCAGGCGCACTTGAGGGCTTCAAGGTTCAGCCCCACAGTGCGGTCGCCGCTGCCGACGATCAGAGCGTCTGAGGTTCCCCTCCCTTGGAGTTGCATTATCTGAGCCCAGTTGTCCTGGATGAAGCAGCGTGGCGACCCCGTGTAGGCTGCCGGGCACCTTGGGTCAAACGCTTTCAGGTGGCGCCGGCCAGCGGGCGTGCCAGGGCAGCCGGTGAAGCCGCCGCAGAGCCAGTCCACTACCTTGTTGGGGTTGTAGTCAGTGCAGCGGCACTTGCTGCTCGTGGGGGGCGTGGAGACCGCCACCGCGTCCGCTGTGGTCTTGGGGGCAGTCCAGGTCCACTTGCAATCGCCGGACTGGATTGCCCCCGCGCACGACTTGCATGGGGTGTCCGCAGGAGTGGCGGCCCCACAGGCGAATGTGAACTTCCCGCTCTTATCCGTCATTGTGGCGGGCAGGGTATTTTTGCAGTCCAAGCCCTCGGCCTGCCCGTCCAGCAGCGAGAAGGATGCGGTCTCCCCGCAATTCACGATGTCGCAGACCGCCTGCCCCTGATCCCAACCACTGTCCTGTTCGTTGCGCGGTGGGGGGGAGAGGCGGGGTTGAGGGAGTGGAGGAACGCTTTGAGATATGGCGCTTGTGCGGCAGCAAGTGCACTACTGTGAGTGCCAAAGGTTCAATTACACAAAAGGTGGCGCTGCGGCCCCTGCTGCTGCTGCTGCTGCTGCTGCTGCTGGTGCATCGGCGGCGACGGAAGCGGCAGCCTGTAGTCTCCATGTCACCACCGCCAAGCGCGCTCACACTACGATTGCCCCTGCACACCTTGTTGTTGCACTGGGTCTCGCCCGCAGCAAACTGCTCGCTCTTGCCGCTCCAGCCCCAGCGGATATAGGTGGACTGCCTCGCGCAGACCTGATCCACCAGATCTCCAGGCTGGATCTGGCAGCTCTTCTTGGGCCGCCAGTACAGGCACACCTGATTGTGGAGGCCGGCAATTGAGGGGATTTTGACGGGACGAGGCGAGGGCCGCACGGCTCTGAGCCTTGTGGTCTGCATGCTTGTGGATCTCCCTTGCTTTTTGCCTGAGGGGTGGCGCCCGCAGGCGTGATGATGCGCCCCAGCGCCCCGCGCTTAGAGCGCTTTGTGGGTCCGGCGCACCTGCCACTGGCATGTTGCCAGGGTCTTCACCCGCCACTGGATGCAGTTCTTCTGGAGGTCGCAGGTGTTGGCGGGCAGCGCGGCCGCCAGCCACACCGCCGACAGCGCAGCCAGCGCGGCCAGCAGCAGCCGGGGCCCCATGTTTTTGAGGGGTGTGCCCCAGGGCCTGTCCAGCCAGTATAAGGAGGGGACGCAAATGCGCATTTCATCCTGTTGCATGACCAGCGGTCATGCATGCTGCAATCACGCAGCATGGCGCAACGGGGCCGGCGTCCTCCGCATTTCAGAAGTGGGCTGTGCATCGGCGTCTGACCGGGGTGCAGGGGATGCGGCGGCTCTCGCCAGTCCGTTAAATGGCTGCCTGACCTGAAGAGAATCAAATGGTGCACGCCCGCACCTGTCAAAGCGAGTCTAGTGCAACCTGGTCGGGGCTCTCTTGAAAGATTGGCCCGCCAGTGTCCGTGGCGACCACAGGAGCGTGAAAGCTGTCTCAAAGCAATCCACTGCCTCTTCTATGGAATAGTAGGCAAGGTTTCGTGCTTCAATGAGAGTCGCATTGAAATGCACACCCACACCTGCGGAGTTCGTAGTTGTGTTGTTGGACTATAAACAAGGCATTCAACGGCCGCGACAAGTTACGTTTCGAATTATCTGGGTTCTTTATAACACGTTAATTGTTTTGATAGCGCATTCATCTAGCGGCGTTGTCGATACGCGCCACCATCGCTGCGTAAAGGTGCGCTACTGGCGACGTCCCTTGAAGTCCCTGGTGGCACGGCTGGGCCACAAGCGATTTATGTGAAGCAAGTGGAGTGAGATCAGAGTCATCGGCATCACGCCTTCCATTGCACAACCCAGCACTATGTGGACTGCATCGCCGTTGTTTAGGGAGCACTCGGGGCCACACCTGCCGTCACTCGGTCGCCACAAGCTGTCCGAGAACCAGGGAGTCGGAGTCATACAACTCAGGAGCCTGGTCCGTCCTTGTGCCTGCTGCACTGGCGCTAAAGATTGGTACAAAACCGCGGCGCGGCCGCGACTAGCGCTCTTGCAGGGGGACCGATAACGGCTGTTGTCACCGCCGAGAACTTTTTAGCGCGCCAAGAACTTCATCAGGGCCGAAGTAGCGCTGCCAGATCGCGGTGCGGCACAGGCGCAGAAAACCTGGCATACGCCAGTATATAACAGTATGTCAACACAGTTGGTATCTACATGTATTTCATTGGCACCTTTCGCTGGTTGCAAGGCGTGCTATTTGAATCTCAGGTTGCGAGAGGCCACTGCATGGACTGCGATGCGCTCAAGTGGCACTGGATAGCCCCGTGATCTACAGCAAGACCTGCGGAATGTGCAGCAGCTGAACCTGAAACCTCGTACCAATCGCCTTGAGCGTGCTCCTCATCTTTGCACCAATAAACCACTTTCACCATGTAGGGCACGTCACAACTGGCACACCAACCAGCCCCCCTTGCCATGCGCACCTCACACCTCGACCCACCTTGCGCCCTCACTCTGAGCTCTGAGCGCCGCCACTGCCAACACATGAGCATGTACATCGTAGCCCTAGCTTTCTTGGCGTCATCCTGCGTCGGTCCCTCCCAACCCTACTGTTACAAAACACGGCCAACCCCGTACGCTGGCACAATCACGCTTCATGCAGCCTTGAGCGTGATGGCTGCGCACACGAGCTTTGCAATTTTTCACTTGACGCCGCCAGGCAGGAACTGCCGCGCCACGCCCCGCAGGCTGGTGCCCTCCACCCGGCGCGCCCAGTCCTCGCGGCTGCTGCACTGTGAAGCCCCAGAGGCCAGCTGGCTATGGAGCAGGGCGGCTGCGTCTGCAAGCTCGTCCCAATGCGCGAATTCGACGCGCTCGCGCATGTTGCAAGTCGGGTCTGCAGGCACAGGGTTGTAAGACGGAGCAGAGGTAGCAGCATCCTCGCAGTCCCGCCTATCCAAGGAACCCAGCAGAACTTGCCACCCGCAGAATTCTGCCATTCGAATTGCTCAGATATCACGGAACGGGGATGGTCACCGACTCAGGCCAATGGGCGAGCAGCCACGCAGCCGGCAGGCAGAAGATTGCTGCAAGCACGGCAGCGCTGCCGCCCCGCTAGCGGGACGCAACGCACCTGCAGGGTACAAGATGATGGGGGTGAATGGCGGCTTCCCAGGGCCCCAGCTGTGGCGAGGGGGAGCAATAATGACGGAAGCGATTGTAGCTTGTAAGCAACCAGGAGCCAGACTTGGCAGAAACTGCGTGTGGACTGGCTGGCACACGTACTACAACCCGTGCAAGCCGAGCGTGTGCGATGCAGCTGCGCAGCACTGGACTGCAACAGGCATCCCAGAAAGCAGCGCGCTCACGCACACCCATGCACACATGTCTGCGCGCACGCGCGTCCGCGAGCGCGCGGACACACACGCACGCACGCACGCGCGCACGCACGCACGCACAGCATGTTTGACCTCGCCCGTCTGCTCACCAGCCGCGGTACCGCTCCGCCTGCTCTGCGGTGTACAGAACCTCCGCCACCACTGGCGCAGGGGGGTTGTCTTTGTCAGCCTGCGCGGGCTCCAGCGGAATCAACCGCAGCCGCGTCGCAATCAGCTCCAGCCCCCCCATGAACGCCTCCATGACTCCGGGGGGGCGACCGCCGCCAATCGCTGCTTGACGCGTGGCTGCGGCAAAGTAGGGCACGTTCAGCTGGTCGCGGCGGCAGGCGGCCATCACCAGGACCTCGCACACGATGCCAGGGATTTTATCGGTGCCTCGAATCTCGTGGTCGCCGAAGCGCACCCACGCCTTGAGCAAACGCATCCCGTTCTTCGTGGTGGGGTGCTGCGCCCTGACCACCTCCACCTCCACTTCCGTCAGCTGCAGCACGCGGGTTCGGTCCGACACGGGTAGCACTGCGGGGTGCGGCGGGTAGCACTGGTCGCTGCTGCGTGCTGCTGCGCGGTCGCTGTGTGCCGCCGCAGGCAGCAGGAGGGGCGCGAGCAGCGCGTTGTACAGCGCTTTGTCCAGCGAGCCTGACCCCAGGTTGGCGGGCTTGGGCACGGGCAGCACATCCAGGTGCAGGGGGCCAGCGGGATCCAGGCTGGGGCGCTCGAACCGCCCGTGCCTGCCAGACGAGGGCCGAGGTGCGGACGAGGTGGCCGTGATCAAGGCGGCTTGCGTGGGACTCCAACACTGCCTGCTGCCAAAGAAGTAAAGGTCGTATATCCGACTGGTGGGAGCGCGCCGCGGCAGCCAACCAGCAGGGCCGCTGGCTGATGACAGGGACGTTTGTAACGCGGCTAGCTGCGCATCAGTACGTGCACCTACTGCCCAACAGAGAGCTCCGCCACAAAGGTGCGCTCTGTTGTAGCCTGGCGCATCTGCACTTGATTGGCTGGAAGCAGCTAGCAGCTCACTTGAACGGTTTGGTGGGGATGGCCCCCCATCCCTCGGACACCAGCAGCTCCTGGACATCCGCAATGGAGGCCTTGCGCGCCACGTCCCAGGTGGTGCCGGGATGGTTCACCAACAGGACTAAATCCAGATCGTAGCTGGGCATGGACAGGGCAAGGGTTGCAGTTTCGCAAACAGCGCGTCATGTGATGTCATAGCTGCAGCTGGTGGGTGCTGCCGGGCTTCTGTTGGATGGCCATGCACAGGGGGTTGGTGGACAAGCAAACGGCAGGTGGCCACGCGCACCTGCCAGCCAGGTTGGTGAGCTTCTGAGCCGAGCCGCCCCTGATCAGGTTGTGGAGGCTCCAGATCGTGCTGCTCAGCTTCTTCCTGAACACCTCGTACACCTCGTCTGTAATGGCAGGCACTGCCGCCTGTGCCTCCGTTTGCGGCTGCATGGCTTTAATGAGGTCCTCTAAGCCCTGCTGTGCGTGGCTAGTGATTGCCAGGGCCGCCGGCTGGAGATGGGGCACAACGGGCTCCGCTGCAGTAGCCAGCAGTGTGCCCTCTCCTGCCACTTCTCCCGCCGTAACAGGCGCTGCCGTGGTTGCTGCCATCACCGTACTCGCCTGCGCTGCTCTCTTGGGACCTGCCGCTAGCGGCGTGACCCCCCACACCCAAGGTGGCGCGCCGTTGTCCCACTCCGCGGCGCACTGTGGGGGATTCCGCCCCTTGGCAGGCTGGTAGGGGCCGCCAGCGCCGCCGCCGCTGCTGCTGCTGCCGCTGGGTACCTTCACCACTATGGTGCAGGCGCCGAGGGGGTATGTCCTGTAGGTCCTCTCGGAGAACTGCCCCTGACAGTTGTGTGGCGGCTTGTAGGCGGCCAGGCATGGCAGGCCCGAGTTGGCTAGGTTTAGGTGCTCTCCAAGCTCAGGGTGCACCTCCTCCCAGTACTGCGCCACAGAGATCTTCCCTGACGCCGCAAAGCCGCCAGGGCCGGCAGCCGCGAGCTGCTGCTGCTGCTGCTCCTGCTGCAGCCGTGGGTGGGGCTGCGAGCCGCAGGCGTGGGTGATCGTGGCTGCGCTGCGGGGATCCACAAAGGCGACCTTGATGCTGTGGCCGCCCCTAAGTTCCTGGAGGCTCTCAACATGTTTGTGCCACCGCACCTGCAGCAGGGGCCAGACGTGTGCAATGGGCGCGGCAGGCGGCACTGGTGGGGACTTGAAACTCGATGGACCGGCCCGCAAGAGCGGCCCAAGACTCTTTTGCAAGGATTTCATGTGCTGTCCAGTAGCCCCACCCAGACACCGCCATTGCTCATCCTGCCCACCTCCTGGCCACGCAGAAGGCTGTTCACACAGTCGAAAGTGCTGCTTCGCCCTGCCGCCCAGAGGCGCTCCAGTCCCTCGGGCCCCACGCCACGCAGCTGCTCGTGCTGCAGCAGCCACTCCTTCACCGGTATCTGTTGCTTTTCTGACATTGAAAAACGGTCGGCATCCTCCTGGGCGCGAGTCAAAGCTGAAGTGAAATCAGGGTCGTGGCGTCGTGCGGCAAACCGGCAATCTCGGCGACGCTCGTATGCCTCGTGAGCAGTCTCGAATAACGATACCGATCTCACCAGATACACCCGAACATCCCCTCCTCGCTGCCGCCAAAACACGCCTCGGGCGCCTCGTGAGGGGCCTGGCCCAAGGGCACGGTTGAAGGGTCTCCAGAGGTTCGCCCCATGCGTGTGATTGGCCCTCATTGCTACACTCGATGCAGCCGCATCAGCACTGATTGTAAATGTCAATATGTTTCGTCAGGGCCTGACACCATCAACCAACGGCGGCTACTCACACTCACAGAGCATCAACTGAAGGCGCCTCACGCACTTCAGCCGTGCGCGCCCATCAGCACGCATTATCGTCGTATTGCCACAAATACATCATCCACGCAGACAAGGCTTTTTGGTGCGAATACCTCGCCTGTAACGACAGAAGCGGTGCTGAAGCGCCGCCGAAGCAGGGCTCCCAGTTTGGCTCAGGCTGACATGCACGCACACAGCGGGCACATTGCACGTTCAGCACGGCGGTCTGCACCGCCTTTGCAGGCGCACCAACACTTTTGGTGTCTGCAGAGTTCCAATACGCACGCCTGGAACAAACTAGGTGGTGGTCCTGATACCACAAGATTGCGAATGACCAAAGGAAGACCAGTAGACCAGTGGTCAGCAATCGCATCACAGGCAGCTGCGCCGCTCCACATGTCCGCACCAAATGCTTTTCAACATGCAGCAGTCCTGCCTGTCACTGGCGTTGCAGCAGCATGGGGGCTCCAAGCACAAGAGCGCCCACGCGCTACGGTACTGCTCAGTCGATCCACACTGAGTGACGGACACAGCCTGGCAGCTGGGCGCCCCTTGCTGGGCGCTTGCAAGTCGCAATCCCCGTTTGCGCCGCCTGCATCACCATGTACTGATGGTACAGCTGCGTGCAATGCGCTTTCCACCCGCACTCACATGCGACCCGTGCTGGTTTATCAGATAAAGTACACATCGATCGTGCCGTTTTTCTCGCTTGCTGCCTTGAAAGCGTTCCTGTAAAGCCGAGCCTAAACCAAAATCACAGAACCCTTCGACTGCGTCACGTGCGATCAGCGATGGAGGCCTGCAGCAGGCTGCCGCGGGCTCCGACAGGTGCATCCATCCCAACGCAGAGACCACTGCGGGCACCCAAAGCGCTAATCAGGTAATGAAGGCCCTTTTTCTATGGGCTTGCAACACCTGGGACACCTTGTGGTGCACATGCTGACTCTGCGCCGTGCGGCACCCTGCGGCACCCGCTGCCTACCGCCCCGAGCACAGGCGCGCACCTCGTCCCCAGGCCGCCCTGCTCGGCCCTGAGGTACGCCCTGATGAGTGCAAGATTCATCCTCAGGACACCGTTGCGCAAGAGCTGCCGCTTGCCAGGTGATCACCGCCGACAGCCGGGACGCCGTGCGGCAATGGTCGAGCCCAATTTGGCACACATCTTCGTTGACGCCGACGCTCGTTCTGCGGGCGACCACGTGTCACTTACACGCACGTTCCCTCCGCCCCTTCCACCCGTGCACCAGCCTGCGCCGCGCCGCCGCCAGGACGGCAACCGCGGCCGCCGCCGCGCTCCTTGGTCTGCTGCCTGCGGGCGCGTCCCGCGCGGCCGTCGCAGCGCTCGCCTCGGCCGCCGAGGGCGTGGGCTACGACCTGGATTTTGACGGCGCGTCGCCTGAAGTTCTGGAGGTCATGTTTGTGGTGGTGGCGACGTACTTTGGGCTCATGGTGCTGTACATATGGCTGGCGTCCATGATCGACGAGGTGGGGCTCACATGCACTGAAATGGAAAGCACAGTTTGTGCATGCGTGCGTGCGGGCACGCGCGCGCGCGCATGTGTTTTAGGGGGAGGGTCTGCATGTGGGTGGGAATTCGCCGAGGTGCTTAGGTCTGAGCCCGTGTGACCTGTGTGGCTGAATGAATGAAGGTGCGGACTGGGCGGTTGGATGCATGGGCGGGTCAGGTGGATGTGGGATGCGAGGGCGGGTGCGTGGCCAGTGGGGTCGGGATCTATCGTGCATGCGTGTATTTATGTGAGGGATCAGGTTGGGTGGTGAGCAAAACCAAGCTGTGCCCCCTCCCTCCACCCCACGCAGGACCCTGACACCGCGAGCCATGCTCATGGCCACACGGCGTTCCGCAGCGGCGGGGCCGCCGGACGGCCGCACAACCCGCACCAGCAGGCGCAGCAGCAGCAGCCGAAGCAGCAGCAGCTGCAGGACCAGGAGCAGCTGCCGACTGGCTATGCGCGCCACCTGCGCGCGCACATCCGCAGCGCGCGCGAGCCGCGGCGCGGGCACGAGCTCGTTGTGCCGGCTACGTGCGAGGACGGGGGGCCGTGCAGCGTGGAGGGGGTGAAGGCGAATCTGGCGGGGCAGGCGGCGGACTACGTGGCGCAGCAGGTCAAGTGAGTGGCTAGCCCGCAGGCTGGCCGGGGGTCGGCCCCGCGGAGTGGTACGCTTTCACGTCAGAAGCCATCCGGCTTTGCGTGCGTGCCGCCACAGGCGGCCTCTGCAGACAAGGATCGCAGGGCAGCTTCCTGCTCGCGATAGAAACCAGCCTTGTGCAAGGCCCACCTTTGTTTGCTGTCCGTTGCCGAAACAACCCCACACTTTGCGACCCATTTATTCCTCACACCGCCACTCGCTTCGCAGGGACTGCGGCTCCGTGGTGCGCCGCAAGCTGTACCTCCGTCGCATGGCCGCCCAGGACGCCGCCCAGCTCAGCCCCCGCAGCGGCTTCGCCGGCCCCGGCGCCTCCCAGACGCCCGCGGCCGCAGCCGTGCACGCCTCGGGCGCGCTGGGGCTGGGGCTGCCCGGCCAGATGGAGGCCTGGGTGGACGATTGGCTGGACGCCTTGGTGAGGGGGCACGTGCTGCCTTTGGCCCACGCAGCTGCGCCAGGGACCGACTGTGCCAGCTGCTCGAGGCGCCAGTGTTCCTGCAGCACGTCACGCCAAATTGTGCGTATGTTGCGCAACCCGAATCAGGCCTTGAACCCTTAACAACACCGTTCCCTGCGAACGGCACCCTCACCATTCAACGACCCCAGGGCCCGGCTGCGCTGGCGGCGGGCAGCGAAGACGGCCTCGTGCGCGCCATCATGGCCGATGCAGCGCCCCGGCTTGCGGTGGGGGAGGTTTCGGAGCTGATCAGGTCAACGAGGTCTGCACTCGACCAGCGCCAGAAGCAAGATGACGCCGCCTTCCCGGGCTACGGGCTGTGGCCATAGCCACCCTATGAAACGGCCATAGCCACCCTATGAAACGGCCTGCCGGCCGGCGCAATGGCAGAGTTCGCTTTTTTCTGGAGACGTTGCATTGCAGCGAGAAACGCTGCATTGTGGCGAGTTGCAAAGCAGGTCTTGCTGTCCTGTGGGCGGGTTTTAGTTGACTGCCGCGCGGTCAACTCTGGCCAGCGGTCCCGCTTGTCAAGTCGCACGATTTTGAAGTTTGTTCTGAGCGGGCTCACCCCGCCAATTTCAAAATATCAATCAGCAGATGTCAGGGGAGTTCTGTATGGCCCTGCATTGCCCAAGCATGTCCGCGTCCTCGGCCACCTCGCTTGCACGCATCATCACAGTGCGTCACACGGCGCTGCAGTTCATTACGCATGCGCGCCCATTCGGCAGTGCAACCGCTGAACACTCCATTACAAAACCATGTAGATTTTGCCACACACCTGCGGTTGTTTCTGGTGCACAGTAGTCTGCGCAGGGTGTAACTTTGGTCTGCAACACCTGAACGTCTGCAGCCTGCTCAGCTGTGTCTACAAGCAAAGCATGTTTCAGATGCAATTGTTCGTCGTACGTGTGCGCTCGGTGGAGAAGTCGGCGCAGAACCCTGAACAATTCAAAACGCCGCAGTCAAATATGACTGGCCCTAGGATATCCACAAGGTTTGCTCAGACCCGTGAGCAGCTGCGTTTCGATACTGCTGCACCACACAACCTGCTGCTGTCCCCGTGACGGTTGCTTGTGCCGCGCCTACGCCGGCAACCTACCCACAGTACGCTGAGCGGCTGACGGGAGCGCAGCAGGCGCAGACGCAGCAGGCGCACGCACTGGTTGCACACCGCAACTGCATAGATGTTGATGGGTTCACCACATAAGTTTTAGGAGTCATTGTTCGCCCACACAAGACGTGTTTACCCGGCTGCTGAACGAGCATTTGAACCAATCTTCTCTCCTGCACGCCAGCCACCAGCAGCAGCGCGGCCAGGCCTCGGCCGTCATGATGGTGATAGTCTGAGCTTGTTCGTGGAGGTGCCACGGGCCCTGGTTTCAAGAAGCGGCCTTGCAATCTGCAGCAGTGGCTTGACCTTGCACCCATGCGCTCCTACAAGCTCGGTAAGAACGCCAGGCAGATATGATCGGGTTGATGCTGACATGGGCGTTCAGAGCTCGCCATGCAGGCGCACCAGATGACACCCGCCCGTGCCTGCGTCACGATGCACCCCACAGACGAGTTCGCCGCGCACGCCGGCGCCGTCAACTGCCTGAAGATCGGCCGCAAGTCGTCTGGTGTGCTTGTGACCGGTGGAGATGACAGAAAGGTCAATGTTTGGGCTATTGGCAAGCCAAACGCTATTCTGGTGAGAGGCGCAGCGCACTGCATGGCGGGCAGCCACGCAAGCACCGCTTTTCCCGGGCTAGTGCACAGCACCCCTTCCTGCAACTTTCCATTGCCAACGCGCACCGGAAAGGTCTCAGGACACACGGCCACGGCTCTGGACTATCCCGTAGAGCCTGTCGGGACACACGACAGCAGTGCAGTGTGTCAATTTTGACACCCAGGAGGAGGTTGTCGCAGCTGGCGGCCAGGGTGGGACGGTCAAGCTCTGGGACCTGAACGCATCCAAAGGTGTGGCCTCACGCTGGCAATTACGCTGGCAATAATGGCAGGTGCTTGTGTGTGAGGATGTGTCTACGAGCAGATCAGGGACTTAGCTGCCAGCGGCTGCCCATCGGGACCACGTCTGATGCAATCCAGCAATCGGCAAGCGTCATCGGTGGGGAGGCTACGAGCGGCGGCTGGTGCAAAGCGTCATCCTTGCATGGCTGTAGCGTCAGCTTCACGCACCCCACCACTCTCGCACCCCTTCACATCCGCACGCGCGCAGCCGTGCGCACGCTGACCGGGCACCGGTCCAGCTGCCTATCCATTGAGTTTCACCCCTTTGGTGACTTTGTGGCGACTGGGTCCCTGGACACGAACCTGAAGGTGTGGGACCTGCGCCGCAAAGACTGCATACAGACGTACAAGGGCCACAGCAAAGGCGTGACGCACGTTGGCATCAGCCCCGACGGGCGCTGGGTGGCGTCTGGCAGCGAGGCTGGCGAAGTCAAGGTGCGGCGCGGGATGGAGGGAGGAAACGGCTGCTGCTGCTGCTGATGTATCTGCTGCTGATTTCCCTGTGGCTGCTTTCTTTGTTTCTGCTGCTTTTGCCAGGGTTGGTCTTCTGCTGCTGCTGCTGCTGCTGCTGCTGCTGCTGCTGTTGCTGCTGCTGCTGCTGCTGCTGCTGCTGCTGCTGCTGCTGCTGCTGCTGCTGCTATGTCATGAATGCTCTTGGCGGTGTTTTAGCCGGCAGTCGTTTGCCAAAGTGTTTCACAAGGGTTTAGAGATGTCTTGTCGCACTAAGTGCTTCATCAGCAGCGGTGTGCAAGCCACACAGACAGCACCCTGCAGAAATGGAAGCGCGCTGCCCTGCACCACCCCTGATCGCTGGCCGTGCGCAGCGTTCCAAGCGTACCGTCCTCCACCC